TTTGCCCTAGATTTTCAAGAACAAAATGAATTTCAAAAGAGGAGACGAAATCGAAGTGAGCAGCGGAGAGCAGGGTTATCTAGGCTCCTATTATGAAGCAAGAGTGGCCAAGAAGATCAGCAAATCTATGTTTGTTGTGGAGTACAAAACTTTGGTTGAAGAAGATGGGTCAAGACCTCTGAGAGAGGTTATCGACATAGGTGAGATCAGGCCGAGGCCGCCGATGGTTCCTTTTTCGGTTGAAGATTTGTCTCCAGGTGATAAGGTCGACGCCTTTGATTATGATGGTTGGTGGCGTGGAACTATCTGTGAAAAGAAAGGTTTTGGGTATGTTGTGCATTTTCATACCACTGGAGAGACCATGACTTTCCCTAATACTGAGAAGTTGAGAATTCATCTGGACTGGGTTGAAGGAAAATGGGTCTCTGCCAACTTTGGGTATTTATAATTTTCTCTTCTTCATCGTTTTTCAAGTTCCGAGCTTTTTTTTAAAAATCTATTTTCGCATTTATGTTTGGTAGTTTTTTAGCTGTGACTTTTTTGTTCTTTGAGTTCCATTCATCGTTGCTTGCATTTCTGCTGTCATTTTCTTGCTTGAGCTTAGCTTTGCTGATATAAACGGTAAACGTAAGATCAGGTTATATGTGATAGGATTGGTAGGCTAGGGTAAGAAAGTGGGTAAGCTAAGGCCTCCTAAACTATTTTTACTGATGTTTAGGACAGAAAGTTATATATATATATGAAAATGGTTAGAAATTATCGACATAAGGGTTAGAAGAGTTATTTATTTTTTACTATCACTATTATTGTTTCTATTATTATAATAATTATCGTTATTATCATTACTATTGTTGTTGTTGTTATTACTATTATTATATAAGAATAAACATTCTTTAGTTGAAACTTTAAAGATTTTAAAAGATATTCGAAAATTTTTAATATTTATGCATCATAATATAAACATAACGTTATTAGATATAGTTGAAGTTTTATAAACTCTTTAAGAATTTTTCTCTTTAACAAAAGGTGGTATTTTTCCATTGTTTAAAGTAACAACAATCCATTTAAAAAACTTCTTCACTTGAGACAATTATGGAAATAATTTGCTGATGTTATCCTTAGCAAATGAGAAAGTGAAGATTCGACTATGACAATAATTGAGCAACAAATGTGCAAAATATATTGTTATTTTTGTGCATTTCTCTCCTACGACACAGAATTTACGAATCTTAGAATTTTTTTAATATATGCAATAGTTAAGTTTTTATGGTATAAAATTTGATACGAGGATTAGAAATTTTAATTATAACTTTAAAATGATTTAATATAGCTAGTTGGTGATTAGAAATACGGCGAAAACAACAATGGGTTGACACAATCATGAATCATAATCATAAAATTATTACAATCATAATCAAGAAGTTGTTAAGCATTCGATTAAACTGAAAAAAATATTTATAAAATATTCTTGTATGCTTGATGTCTTGGTGTTTTACACTATATTTTAGGTAAGCAGGTTTTAAATATTTGCTGATACTTATATATTATCATGACTAACAATAGAATAAAATAAAAATAACAAATTAAAATTTTAGAGACATTCAAGCTAAAATGAATGTGACTCAAATGCGAAAAGTCGATAATATTAATATAATTCTGCTTCGTAAAATTTTCATATATGGGTTATACTATATAAATGGTAACATTTTCGTATACATGTGGCTGTTACTTGTTTTTTTTCTTTTGAAAAAAATTAATATTAATATCCGTCTAGCTTTGTAGAATATGATGTAGTAAGTGAATTAAAAAAGAATTTTATGGAAACTGAAATAAAATATACTCATATATATATATATATATCATATATATATATATCATATATATATATATATATGAGGAATAGAGAAAATTTTACATGTGTGTGTGTGTGTATATATATATATATATTTTGTGATTGAGGACTAGAGATAATCATTTTATTAGCTTCAATTGAAATGTTTGTATTTGCTTTTTCTTCAATTTGGGATATGAATTTTCATAATGTATTTTCTATACTAACTTGTCTATCCTAATTTTTTTTTTTTTCGTTGTTGTTTTACAGAGTGATTGAAGGAAATTGAGTTTATTGAAGGTGATGGAATTGGCTGGTAAACCACAGAAAATTAGAACATGCTAGCAATTGTAGTTCGTGGAATTGTAATGTTAATCAATGTGATTCATTAACAAATTTAATGTTAATGAGATAATTGAACTATTCTTATGAAAAGTAAAAAAGTTAGATCGGCCTTTTGTTCCATTTTGACTACTCTAATTAAAAAAATTTAATTGTTACATGTTTTTTTTTTTTCGTTTAAATATATAATGATCAATTAGAATTAAACCTAACTTATTCACTGTAACTCTATTAACATAATAATAAATTACATATTTAATATTTTTGTATAAACTATTATATATCAGATACCATCAGTACACAATATACTTATAAAGTGACAAATTTCGAGTTCCATTTGTTTGCTTTTTTTTTTTTGGTTAGCAAGTGCTTCGCTTGATATGTTGGCCAAATAAGACACAGATAATTTTTTTTTTTTCTGTTAAATAAGAAAATTTTATATCTTGAAATGAGTTTTAAGTCTAAATTATATTGAAACAGAGGAAGTTAAATTGTAACATGAAATATAATCGGTTATTAAGCTAATAAGATAAAATAATTTATCTTATATTTTATTATGCAGGTCGTGTTTCGAGGTAACATAGAATTATTATATTTAATAAATAACGTTATACTAGTATAATAGAGTAGGGCAATATCAATATAATTTTTTATACCATAAATACAATAAAATTTATTATTAAAAAATTTAAAAATAAGAAGTTACCAAATCTAACTATGTATACACATATATACAATATAAAGGACAAAAATTTAATGTTAAAACAAATCTGTCTTTATAAAGTAAAAATGTCTCCATAAACAAACAGAAAATCTCATGAGGCCACACAAGTAAGGAAATGGACTTAAAGGAGAAGAAAATTAAAGAAGATGAATGGTGGAAAAGAAGGTGATATTTTTCATTTTTTTTTGCTGGATATAAAAAAGGAAAAATTAAAAAAATAATAAATTATTGGGTGAAAACAAGAAATATATATTTTTATAGTAATTATAATTTGAAAAATTAAGATGTTTTATAGGGAAAAAAAAGACAAAGTTATCTATTAATATTAAATTCATTAATTATCAAGTCTTTTTACATTTAGATTTATTATTTATTATATTAAATAACTTAAAAATTTTCTAAATAATAATATGATTCAATGGATTAATTAGCATAAGTTTGGAAAGAAATCATCAATAGTTGGCATATTAGGAAAGATGACTAGGAATTTTGGCATATCTATCGAGAAAATTACCTTGAAATTCAATGTTTTCCTCATATTTTCAGAAAAAATGAAATTCAAGAAAGGAGACAAAATCGAAGTGAGCAGCAGAGAACAGGGTTACCTAGGCTCCTATTACGAAGCAACAGTGTCCAAGAAGATCAACAAAACTATGTACATTGTGGAGTATAAGAATCTGATCAAGAATGATGGGTCACGACCTCTGAGAGAGATTATTGACATCAACGAGATTAGGCCGAGGCTACCGGTGGTTCCTTTCTCGGTTGGAGATTTATCTCTAGGCGATAAAGTTGACTCCTATGACAATGATGGTTGGTGTGGTGGGATTATCTACGAAAAGAAAGAGTCTTGATATGTTGTGCATTTTCACACCACTGAAGAGACCATTACTTTCACTGATACTGAGAAGTTGAGAATTTATCTGGATTGGGTTGATGAAAAATGGGTCTCTACCAAGATCTTTAAAGATCTTAAGAAATGAGCAAATATTTCTATAATTTATGAATCACGATCTATATATAAGATTATTAGATATAGTTAAAGTCTTATACACCCTTTAAGAATTTAGATCTCTTTAACTTACATGACCATTTTTCATCATTTAAAGTAAAACAAAATGAATTTAATTTTTTTATTGAAACAATTATTATAGGTTAGTTGTTGATGTTATTTCTAACGATTAAGAAGGTGGAGATTCAACTATGACAATAGTTGAGTAACATATGTTGAAAATGTATTGTTGTTCGTGTGCATTTCTCTCTCCTACAATATGAATTCATGAATTTTTGGATTTTTTTGTGATATATGCAATAGCTATAAAAATTTGATATGAGAATTAGAAATTATAATTATAATACTAAATTGATTTAATATAATTAGAGAGTGATTAGAAATATAGAGGAAACATGGATTGACAAAACCAAATCACAATCATAGGATTGTAACAATATTTATAGTAAGTTTTATTCATAAGTAATAGTAAAAACAATGTTAAATAAGTCATGTAGATGTTTATATAACATGAGTGTTTTATAGAATGAATAAACATTCTTGTGTGTCTTAACCTCCTGATATCTTAAAGTATATTTTAGCTAAACAAATTTTAAGCATTTGTTGGCATTTCTGTATTATCATGACTAACAATAGAATGAAATAAAAGTAGGAAATAAAATTTTAGAGAAACTCAAACTAAAATGAAAGTGATTCAAATATGAAAAATCAATAATATTAATATCATTATAATTTGTAAAATTTTCATATACGAGTTATACTATATAGATTGTTAAGTTTTTGTAAATGAATTGCTATTTAAAAGTATATTTCTTTTCTTGAAAAACCAATATAAGATATTCTAGCTTTGAAGAATATGCTAATAGTAAGTGAATTATAAAAGCATTTAATAGAAAACTGAGATACAATATACTATGTATGTATATTGGAAACTGTGATTGAGGAATGGAGATAACCATTCTATTACCTTCAACTAAAAGGTTTGTCTTTCCTTGTTTCTATAATTTGGGATTTGAATTTTCATTATTTATTTTCTATACTAACTTGTGTAATTTTTTTCT